CCTTCTCCAGCTCCTCTTGCGCGCGCCGCAACTCGATCTCCAGGTAGTGGCGCGTGGAGTCGAATTCGGTCTCGAGCTTCTCCAGCTTGTGCGTCGTGTAGGACAGCCGCTTGCGCAGCTCGCCCTTCTGCTCCTGCAACGCGCTGCAACGACACGCGGCGAGGCCGGGCCACGGCGCTGAGCGCGGAAACTGAGGCCGGCGGGCCAGCCGGGTGCAGTGTGTACCCGGGCCGCACACCGTGCGCGCGCACACACGCACACGCACACACACACACACACTCTCCCTTCAGGCGGCACTGGAGACGTCCGGCCTGTGGGTCAGGGACTCGGACCTGAGCCCTCCGGCCGCCTCAGTCACCGTCCCCGTCAGAAGGTAAGACCTCTGGGGTCCCGCGGGACGGCTGGCTGGCATAGAAGAAACAAGGGGACCCCAGAAACCCGGCGAGTGTGTTTGGGGGTGTTGGGAGGTTTCAGCAGCTCTTCCTCTGTCGGGAAGTGACCTTGGATGGCACCTGACACCTAACGGGGCCTTCCGTTGCTCCTCCACAGCCAGGGCGGGGCGCTGAGGCCCCAGAGTGGACAGTACCACCCCAGAACCAGGCCTCCTCTCCGGAACTGGCCATATGGCCCCGGCCTCTGGGCCCAGCAGGCTGTGCCACATCTCTGGGCCAGGGAGAGGGTGGGCCACGACACCCACGCGGCAGGGGGCTTCTGGAGGATGGTGCCGACCTCTGAAGAAGGGAAACTGAGGGAGCCTGCGCAGGAACTCAGCTGAGCCCCCAGGCCAAGAGCTGCTTCCTCCTGGCAGGTCTGTGGCCCAGGGTGACCACCTCTTGAGGCTCCACTTCTTCCCACCGACTGGAGGTTCCTTGAGGTGGGGCTCCAGGACCCCGAACCCTGCACTCTCGCTCAGGGAACAAGACCCAGCTGAACCCTGGGGCTGAACCCAGCTGAACTCCCAGCTCCAAGGGAGATGCAGGGTAAACAGCACCTCTGAGCCGCCCAACCATCAAGTCTCTCGAACTAAAGTTGTGCCCAGGTCAGGAGGAGTGGGCGTGGCTGGGGGCCACCCCAGGGGATTGGCTGTGAGCTCTCCTGGGGCAGGGGCCACGCCCTCCTGCTCACCCAGCCCCAGAACGCAGCAGGTGCTCGGTAAACACATCTGACCCCGGTGTGGGTCTGTTTATTGGTTGAGCCTTTGCAACTTTAGCCTCTGTCCAAGAGTGTCCCCAGAGACCCAGCTCTGGGCCCTGTGCTGGGCCTGTGGGATGCCACCCACCCCGAAACTCCCTTCTAGGTGCTGTTAACGTACTGAGTTCCCCCAACAGCCAACAATAAGGCAAGTGTGATTATGATGCCCATTTTACAGATGGGGACGCTGAGGCTCAGAGAGGTCAAATATTGGCCCTCCGTCACATGGCTAACTCAGTCTATCTGGCTCTGACTCTCAAATCCCTCCTGCTACCAGCGGGCGTGATGCTGACGTGCCAGTGGACAGGAGGAAAGCAGGAAGAAGCTGGGATGCACCCCTGGGGTTCTCAGCCCTGGCCACATATTAGAACCCGGGAGGTGGAGGCCAGTGGCTGGCTGAGCACCACAGAAGGGGCAGAGGGCTGAGCGGGGGGGCAGTGCTGACTTTTGCAGGGAAGGGGGGCCTGCTGTGCCGTGGATGAGAGGACAGTGGGGGGCACCACGAGTTCTGCTGGGCCTCAGGCTCTGGGGTTGCGTGACCCTGCTGACCAGATGCCAGAGCTGCAGACTTTGCCCCCCCACCTCCACACTAGAGCCATGGCAAAGCCAGGTGGTGCAGACAGCCCAAAGCGGAATCCAGCCCTGCCTCGCGGGAGGAGAGCAGGGTACCCCCTGGCTCTGAGAGAATCCTGCCAGACAGCTGCCCGGTGCAGCGGACGCCTGAGCCCACGATGGACACTGGAATGAGCACAACCCTGGGGACCGCCTGCAGCCAACGCCCTTTCCAGTGGTAGCTTCAGGTGGGTTTACCATGGGGCCTGGAGGAGGGAAGTCCCCGGGGTGCCTGCTGGAGCTGGGAGCCCAGGCTTTGCCCCTGTGCTGTGTTCTGGGGCAAGGGCCCACCCTCTTGGGCCGGCAGGACCCCAGACCCAAGCAGGGGGGTGGCGGCCATCAGGAGGTGCCCTCCAGCACCAGGGGCCCTGGGCAAGTGTTTCCCCAGCTCGGTGAAGAAACCACATGGCTACCGTGGCGTGCACCCAGCAACCCTTGAGTATGCATTCTTGGCTTCCTGCCCAGGTCTATATTTTAAAAAATAAATAAAAATAAAAAGTGCTGCTCCTGTTTTTGAGAACCCCAGAGAAGGGCAGAGCGGGCGCTTCCAAGAGTCAGGCCCCAAAGAGCATGCAGATGGAGGGAGTGGGAACCCTGAGGCAGAGAGCCTGAGGCCAGCGCTGCCTGCCTGCCTGGAGCTTTGCACAGGCTGCTTCCAGCTTCCTCCAGGCAGCCTTCTCTGACTGCCTCACCTCTCCCAGCCTGGCCCCTACTGCCCCCCACCCCAGGCTGCTTCGTGCCACAGCTTTTTCTCTCAGTGGGGCGGGGAGCTCAGAAAGCCCAGACAGGTGGAGGGCCCTGGACGCGGATGCCCTGAGGTTCCCGGCGAGCAAGATGCCACAGTGTGTCCCCGGAAGCCTCACGGGCTCTGTAGTGGTCACTTGTCCACACACGGCATGTCACTGGGTCAGCGCTGGGGACACCAAACAGATAAGCTACCAGCCAGGAGATGGATAGACAACACAGCATCTGTGGACCCCGTGGGCACTCACAGCCACTCACCTGCACCTGCCCACCCGGGGCCTGCCTTAGTGGGGGGTGGGGCCTGGCCACAACGCGGCCTCTTGGGGCCCAGAGCCTTAGCTGGTTTTGGCTGGCACAGATGGGCCCTGGGGTCTAAGCCCCTCTGGTGACCTGTGCTGGCCCATCCTGTCCACCCTGGGGGCAGGGTGAGGACAGTCACAGAGGGTGCTGTCCATCCACCCATGAGGCCGCTTCTGTCCTCCCCTCCCCAGGGCCCCCCTGCCTGCCATACCACCCGAGCCGGCACTGACCAGCCTTGACCCATTCTCCTGATCCCTCCAACCCCAGCTCACTGCATCCCCTCACCCACCTCTGCCCATCCAGGGGGCACCCACAGGCTCCCCCTGGCCCCCCGCCCCACTCACAGCTCAGATCTGTCCTGGCCCAGAACCGTCCCTCCTGACACACTCTGCCTCTGGCATCACCCCACAGGGCACCCCCTCCTCCTGGTCCTTCCTCTCCTCCCCTCCACTGCCCACCCAGCTCTGTGCCCAGTGCCCCACAGCAGCCCGTGCCCCACAGACGGGGTGGGTGTAGCGAGGGGCAGGGCCGGACAGCCTGTGGGAAGGGGACACCCGGCAGAGACCACCTTCTGCACAGAGCTGGCCCCACCTGAGCTTCAATGCCCCCTGGCCCTCAGACGGTCTTTCAGACAGTGGGCGGTGCCCCACCAGCCCTCCAGCGTGGCCCCCGCTCCAAGTCCTGTACCCCCCTCCTGCTCCCTGCAGGCTCTCCACGCAGGTGCCTGGCTGTGTCGGCCCTCTGTCCCCTCCCCTCTCCTCTTCCCCTCACAGCCCACCAAGGTCACCTCTGGGCCCTCTGTCCCTCGTCCTGCACCTCATTGAGCCTCCTTCCTCCTACACCCCTTGCCGGCCCTCACGCCCACCCCGGATCCCCCTGCCACCTCCCCATCGCACGGCTCAGGGAGAATCCCTGGGGCTGACCTCCTGCTCAGCACACATGGGCCCCTCTCAGGTCGCGTCCCAGTGGGGTCTGGCCACCCACTGGCCTCTCCACGTGGAAAGCCCACAGGCGTCTCCCACTCAACATGCCCAACACTGAGCATGCCCACCACCCTCTTCTGCCCTCCCACCCCCCACGGGACAGGCACGGCCGCCCCTGGTCCCTGGGCAGAGCCCTCAGGGGCCATGGTGACCCCAGCTCGCCCCTCACAGCCTGTCGCCTAGTCCTGGGGGCCCAGCTTCTCAGAAGCTCTGGCTGGTCCTGCCTCTGCTCTGTCCAGGGAGGGCTCTGGACTGGACACCCAGGTCTGTGGTCACCTGGGTAGCACTGCCATCCCGCCCAGCACTCCAAGCCCAGCCTGGCCTCAGCCTCAGTTTCCCCATCTGTAAAGCAGGGATGCATGTACCCACATGGTGAGCAGGGCTGGCCATCGCTGTCCTTGCCGCATGCTCGGCATAGAACAACAACAGAAGAAACCGAACCTGTTGCCATCGAGTTGCTTCTGACTCATAGCAACAGAGGAGACGGAGTAGAACTGCCCCATAGGATTTCCAAGGATTGGCTGGTGGATTCGAACTGCCAACTTCTTGGTTAGCAGCAAAGCTCTTAACCACTGCACCACCAGGGCTCCACTAGATATAGAACAACCCAGATAAAAAGGGAGTGTGGGGAAGTGGGGGCCTGAGGCTGCTGCTGGGAATCTGGGGAGACACTACTCAGGAGCCCAGGGCTCTGTGGCCTCCGCTCCCTGCCCCCCCCTCCCCCCCCGGAAGATGTGGCTTTGAAGGCCCGAGGCGGGTCAGGGAAACAGCCCCTCACAGACACACAAGGAAGAAGTGAGACTCCTTCCCACTTAGGGACGGTGCCCAGCAGTCGCATGCCTGGTGCTGGGGGCTGCGGGCGCTGGGGGCTGGGAAAGTCCTGCCCAGGCTCACGCTCTGCTCCCGTCTTGTGAGGTCGCCTGCTTCCGTCCTGTCCCCGGTGAGCTAGACCAGGACCTGAGCCTAAACCTACAGCCTGTGTGTGTGTCTTTGGTTCTGGCTCCCTCCTTGCCTATGAGAAGCCTCCGCAGCGCTGCCCCACCTTGAGGAGCCTTCTCCTACTCGTCTTCCTCCACGAGCCCCTGGCCGCCCTCGGGAGGTCTGAGCCCAAGGACAGAGCGGCGGTGGCAGCAGTGATGTGCCTCAAGCCCAGGAGACAGCCTGCCACGCGCTGGGCCTCAGCCTCCCCATCCATCCCCAGGGAGGTGGACGCAGACAGGGGACGGATGTCTGGGGAGGGATGCAGAGACACCAAGGGGCCAGGGGGGGAGACAACAGGTATGTTACCTGTCCCAGAGCGAGGGTGAGGACCTGGCCAGTCGGCCCTGCAGGATGTGGGGCTGCCCGAGGCACGAGGGCACCCAGGGGCTGCGCAGCCTGTGGGCGAAGAGGACAGAGCCACTCAGGTGGGCAGTGCCCCCACTGGCTCACCTGTGCACAGGTGCGAGACCAGAGAAGTGGGAGTCTGCCCCCTCCTCCCCCAGAAAAACTCCTGTCATCTGCAAGGTGGGGGTGGTGAGGAGCTGGAGGAGGGGTTCTAGGGGCATGCCCTTGCCAGCCCTCAGGGTCACTCCCCAGGAGGGCCCAGGGCCTCTGCTCATCCGTGGCTCCGAGTCTCACCAGCGACAGAGGTACCTGGTCCTGGGCCGGCCCCTCTCCCAGCCCCTCCTCTCCCACCCACGCCTGGCTGGGTAAGGCAAGCCAGAGTCCTTCCCTTGGGTGGGGGCGGCTCCCCCACCTCCCTACTCTGGGTCAGCTGAGAACCTGCTCAGTTACAGAACTCGGTCCCCGTCTGCCACTGCTCCTTATGCAGGACTCACTGTCTGCAGACCCCAGAGAGAGTGCGGAGGGACAGAATGGCCCCACAGATGGGCTGATGTGTGAGGGGAGGTCGCGGGGGGGGGGGGCCCTGCAGGCTTCGGGTCTGATGGATGTCAGGGGTTCAGGGACAGGGTCACTCACCCTCCCCTGGCCCTACTCACCCAGCCCTGCCTGTGGCCAGAGTGGGCTGCGTGGACGCGTGGGCAGGTGGGAGAGAGGCACCCGCAGCTCGGATGGGCGCAAGGGGCAAACGGGCACCACCCTGCTGAAGGGCAACAAGATCTGCATCACAGCCTTAAAAAGCGGTCCCTTGAAGCCTCTCCTGGCTCCCACCTGGGTGCCCAGTCCAGGGCCCTCACTGTCCTGTGTGTCCACAAGGGCCTCAGGCTCTCAAGGAATACTGAGAGGCACGGACAGACGTGCATGTTGAGAGAGAGAGCAGCGTGATCTCATTTTTTAAAATAATTGCTTACCTGTACAAAAAAAAAAAAACAAGCCTGTTGCTGTTGAGTCGATTCCGACTCATGGCAACCCATGTGTGATAGAGTAGACCTTCTCCATAGGGTTTTCCTGGCTGCAATCTTTATGGAATCAGATCTCCAGGCCTTTCTTCCTCAGTGCTGCTGGTTGGGTTCCAACCATCAACCTTTTGGTCAGGAGTTGAGTGCAGACCATTTGCACCACCCAGGGACCTTGTTTACTGATACCCACAGAAAATGACGGAAGGAATGGCATGGTAATGCTGTCATGCCTGGGAGGGGGGATCCATGGATAATCAAAAATTTTTCTTTTATACTTTTCTGGATTTGTCCTATTTTCTACAGTTAAGTCAAAAAAAAATTGGAAAAATACTGACTAAGGGTCAAATTTTGTTACCAAAAAAAAGGTCACCACATGCGTGTGATGGGCTGAGGGGTCAGCAGAGATCAAGGGGCTCTCAGCACTGAGCTGTGTGCCGGCATCTTCACCATGTCTGTGAGCCTCAGTTTCTGCATCTGTGAAATGGGGTCCCTGGGCCCCTCGCTTCCTGAGCCGATCTGCAGAGATGAGCACATTGGAGGGAGGTGGCAGGGAGAGGGTCAGGGGCTCAGTCTCTCGGTTGGCTGGACTTTGGAATTTTGTTCCCAGGGTCCACCTTCGACAGATGACCCCAATTACAGGACATTTTACTCTTGAGCTGGACAGTCCCCTTCCTCCCCTTCTCCTCCCCTGCTGAAGGGACAGCTGCCTCCCCTTCCTTCTAGATTCTCCCCAAATGTGGCCACACTCCCAGCCACCCTCCAGGCCTTTATCCTCACTGTTCACCCAACCTGGAAGGCCCCTGCTTCCTGTCTCTGCATCCTCAGAGCCTTTCCATTCTTGGGAGGTTCTGCTGGAAAACCACCTCCTCCAGGAAGCCTTCTTTGATTCCCCCTCACTAAAGATGACCTCTCTTTCCTCTCTGGGCGTCCTCCCGGGCCCCTGTTCATCCTCTCTCATAATCTTAGCCCACCTTTTCCACCCAGCAGTCAGAGGGAGATTACAGAAACAGGTGTGGGGTCCTCCCTGGACCCCCACTACCTTTCCTGTCAAGCCCTTGCTTTTGCTTGGCCCTAAGGGCCCGGAAGGACCCAGCCCTGCTGATGGAGGCTCAGACGGGCTCCGTTATGGGAGCAGGGGGCTCTCCCCTCAAGGGTTGGACTGGAGCCCAGGGGTCCCCGCTCTCCATCACGCAGGCTACCTGGGGCCCTGGCCTTGGGTGTTTGGCCCTCCTGCTCCCCCGTAGGACTAGTGGCCCAGAAGGAGACCCTTTCCTGTTCCAGGCTGTGCCTGGGACACGGACACCCAGAGCTCAGCCTTCAGAGGGTTCACAGGGCTACTGGGAAGATGGGCCGGGCAGAGAGCGGCCTGGAGGGGCCCCGGCAGGGCGTGCTCCTCTGGCTGGGCTGGAGGGGTCGCCACCCTCCGCTCCCAAGATGCTGAGAGCCTTCCGGTCAGTCAGGGGCCTGAGGGCCATGGGGCCGCCCCGCAGGCACAGCTTGGCCTTGCCCCGGCTGGGCTCAGGCGCTGGGCTTTGAGCTCACGCTCCAGCAACGCCAAATTGCTTGTCATTCTCCCCAGGAGGCAGCAGTTTCTCATCTCAGTGACTTTGTCCCCGTGTCCCTCTACCAGGCCCTCGCTCCTCCTCTTCCAGGTTAACTCCTCCCACCCAGGGTCTGTGGGGGGACCCAGCATAATAGGGGGTCTGTCACTGCTCCCCTCACCAACGAGCGTCCCCAGGGCCGAGGCGCTGTCCTGTGTGTGGCTGAGTGCGAGGTGGCAGTCTCCCTGCTCCCACACTCACCCGTTGCACTCCAATCTCCCCTCAGCAGCAGGACCATGTCCCACTCTGGTCCAAACTCCCCCGTGACTCCTTGCTAGACAGAGACCAAACCCCAAATCGTCCCCCAAAGCCCTCACCCTGGGCCATGCATGCCCCCAGGGACCTCCTCCGGACACGCTGGCCTTCGTACAGGGCAGGAGTCACCTTGAGCTCCATCTCACCTCCAGGCCTTTGTCCTTGCTTCTCCCTTGGTGGGGACAGTCTCCCCCAGGCCAGCTCCTCCTCCTCCTCCTCTGGGCCCCTGCCTGAATATCCCCCCGTCGGACAGCCTTCCTCTCCCCACTCTGCCCTAGTCTGGAGCCCCGCAGGGTCCTGCCTGCTGGCTGTTCCCGTGGGCCCGCTGCCCTGTCCACGCTGTCCTCGGCCTGGCCGATGCTTCCAAATACACATAGCAGAGGCACTGGTGGAGTAAGGGGTGATCCTGGCTCCGGACTGCAAGGGCAGATGCATTTTTATACCCCCAGGGCCTAGTCTGGGGCTGGACACATGGCTGTCACCAGCTACCCTCAAGGCCCCCTCCTGCCCTGCGATGCCGGCCCACCTGTGCTTTCGCGGGTAGGTGCGCTCGGGCATGGGGAATCGTGCCGCCTCGCAATGCCTACAGCCAGAGAGTTGGTACCAATGCCCGCTAGCAGAGACCAGGGCCGGGCTCCCAGGGCCCCCACCACCCGTGGCTCCCCACGTCCACAGTGGCTCTGGGGGAAGGTGTTTGCCCAGAGTGACTCAGACCCAGCCGGATCCTCTCCCTGCTGAGCCCTTGCACGGCTCCTCAGGGCGGTCAGCACCAGACGGACTCTTGGGCACCGTGTGGGCCTGGGAGGGGCCTGCAGACCCCCACACGCGTCTCTGGCCACACACCTGTCAGGCCAGCCCACCCCTGTGCGCCCTGCAGAAGGCTCTGCCCCATGGGAGGAGCTGGGGACAAGCCCCGTAGGAACTCGGGGCCGGGGGGGTGCCCATGGCCACCTCTCCCTGCATGTCTCATAAGAGCCTTTATTTCCTTTGACTATTACCCTGGTGGAGCCCTGGTGGCACAGTTGTTAAGAGCTTGGCTGCTAACCAAAAGGTCGGTGGTTCAAATCCACCAGCCACTCCTTGAAAACTCTATGGGGCAGTTTTGCTCTGTCCTCTGGGGTCACTATGAATCAGAATCGACTTGACGGCAACAGGTTTATGGGTTACCCTGGTGATGCAAACAGTTAACATGCTAACTGAAAAGTTGAAGGTTCAAATCCCCCCAGAGATGCTTCAAAAGAAAGGCCTGGTCATCTACCTCACAGAAAATCAGCCACAGAAGACCCTGCGGAGCACAGGGTCTACTCTGACACACATGGGGTCGCCAAGAGTTGGGATGGACTCAACGACAACCGGGTTTTGGTTGCCTCTGCCAATTCTACTCTGTGTATCTGCCACAGGAAGCCCACTCAGGACCTCTCCCAAGTGCCCGCCCTGCTCCGGATGCCTCCAAATGTCTCAGCTACTCTCTTTGCAACCACCTTGTAAGGGAGGAGTGCACCCCCTCCCACTTTACGGATGGGGAAACCGAGGCTCACAGCGGTCAGGGAACAGGGCCCGCCTGAGGTCACAGCGCCAGAGTGGGGTTCCACTCCGGGCTGATGGTTCTCCCCTTACATCGAGATGGCAGATTTGAGGGGAATCACAGCCTCCCACACAGCGGGGTGATGGACTCGAAACCTTTCACCGAGGGCGGCTGTGTGTCCTTGGATCTCTGGGAAGCTCAGAGGTTGGAGGACAGACCACGGACAGTTTGAAAGAGGAAGAGACTGAGGGCCCAAGAGGAGAAGTGGCCTGAGCGAGGTCAAGGGAAGGCTGGGACAGGAGGGGCCCAGATCAGACCTGAGGGGACACTGAGGCCCGGTTCTGATTCTCCAGGGCTCTGTACCCTCCTGTCTCATGGCAAACCCCACGAAGACACCACAGGCCTCTGACAATGCAGCCGCCTAGGGCCAAGGCTGAGGGGCCCTGGAGTCCAGCTGGACAGCCCGCTCCTTGCTTCCTGGGGCGTTTCTGTGTTTCTCCCTCTGCGGAAGACAGTCCCGGCGCCCATCTTACATAGCTCTGCAGCTCAGACGCACCGACCCAGCCCCCTGGACCACCCCAGCTGACCTTTACAGCAATGACACCAGCTGATACCACCTGCTTGCAGATGGGGCCTCTGAACGCCACCACCACAGCTGCCAGGCTCCCAGAGGAAGGACGTGCGCATGTGTGTGCCTGTGTGTACATGTGCGCATGTGCACACGTGTGTGCGTGTATGTGTGTCTGCACCTGCGTGTGTTCGTGTTTATGTGTTTGCAAGAGCACGTGTGTTCATGTGTGTGCATGCATGTCTGTGCGTGCGTGTGTGTGCATGTATACAGGGGAGGAGACTGTTGCAGTGCTGACCTGTGGGACCACAACCAGGAAGAGAGGCCTGGTGAGGGAGTGAGCTGCTGTCAGGATGATCCCACAAAGGGCTGAAGAGTGTCCCCCAAAATTCATGTCCACCCGGAACCGCCAAATGCGACCTTATTTGGAAAGGAGTCTCTGTAGGTGTAGTTAGTTCAGGTGAGGCCACCCTGGAGTAGAGTGGCCCCTGGAGCAGTGACTGCGTCCTCATAAGACAAGGGGAGGACACGGCCGCCCAGGGAAGGAGGCCGCGGCCAGCAAGGCAGAGATGGCAGAGATGCGGCTGCAAGCCAAGGAACATGCAGGTCACTGGCAGACTCTGGAAGCTGAGACAGAGGCATGGGACAGACTCTCCCTCAGCCTCAAAAAGGGAAACACCCCCACCACACCTGTCCTCCAGAACCGAGAGCGAGTAAGTCTCAGCTGCTTCCGGCTGCCCGGCGTGTGGTTCTTGGTCACAGCAGCCGTGTAACCCTCCTGCAGCGCCCACCGGTGCGGCGGCTCCTCAAACCCTCCCCTGCGGGCCGCTTTCCCCTGGCCCCACCACTGCCCAGGGTCACCCAGGGGCCCCGGCTCAGCCCCATCCCCTGCCGCTCCCTGTGACCCTACTGGCTCCCGGGGGGCAGGAGTAGAGGAGTGGGGGCGGGGGGACAGCCATGGTGGGCTCCCTGCTGCACAGAGACGGGAGTTGGGAGGTGCTGCAGGAGGCGCTGACATCTTACCTCATCTTATTGGGTGGCTGCGGCCCTGCTCCCACTGCCCCCGCTTTGCCAAGGTGGCACCACTTGCTAGGGAGCCCTCAGCAGGTGGGCAGACTGAGGGGGTGCCCACAGCCAGGGCAAAGCCAGGGGAGCTGGGCAGGTGGATGGGGCAGAGAACCCCTGGACCTCTGCACATGCTGCTCCTCCTGCTCAGAATATCCCCTTCCCTGCTCTTTGGTTCACTCCATTCACCTCCTCCAGGAAGCCCTCCCTGACTTCCCACTGGGCCAGGAACCCACTTCTCCACACCACCACTGGCTCCCTGTCCTGGCCCTGACACTGCAGTGGGCTCTCCTTGGGCACAGGGGCTGCGTCTGCTTTTCCTCCTTGGAGTCCCAGTGCTTGGTGCAAGCCTGGGCTGGCAGCAGGGCTCGCTGGCCATGTGCTAGAGGGTCCCATGGCCCCTGGGACACCTGGTCTCAGGAGAGTGCAGCTGGCTCAGAGTTCCTGGTAGCCCTTTCAG